CTCTTTTGAGGCACGCGCAAGCGCACGAACCCAACCCCCCACCCCCCCGTTATAAAAAAACAAACAAGTGGGCTCCCCCAAAGTCCACGGTATAGTTCGAACACTGCTGGTGGTGTTTTGAGACACAAACCGCTGGACTTGCATTATATATATTGTGACTCATTTTAACCTGTTGTTTTTTGTTTTTTTTTGTCAGAGGTCAGAGCAGGACAAGTAAAAAAAAAAAAAAAGTTTACGATCAACGTGGGAACTGAAATCAGTGTTTACTGGTTGTATGGCATGTGAAAAATGCACGCTGTTTTCATGTGCAGGAGAGGATCCATGTTTTATGTTGGAACTTGAGCAGCTGATCTGAACAGACACAGACTTGACATACCAATTGAAACTCAAAACATTACGAAATAATACTCTGGATACATGTATGTAATTCAGGTTCAGCATTTGTTTTTTGTGTGTTTTTTTTTTTAAGCAGTGACAACTGTGCCATGATACTGCAGGAGTGATATGGTTGTTACATCAGGAGGGATGTAAATGATTAAATGTAAAAGGGTAGTTATAAATACTGAACATGAAACAGCTGACAAGTCCTGCGGTGTGACATGCTACTATACCTAAAGCTAAACAGCATGTTCATGATTTATCTTGAGGTTTAAAAAAAGCCCTACACTACCATCTAAAAGTCTGAGGTGAGTAAGGCTTTTTAATGTTTTTGAAAACATTATCTTATAGGCTGCATATAGTCAATCAAAAATACAGTGAAAACAGTAATAATAATGATATTACAATTTAAAATAATTTATTTTAAATACAGATTAAAGTGTAACTTATTCCTTATTAATAACATTGTTGAAACTGCTGTACTCCTTAATAGACTTTTTGTGGAATCCATAAACATTTTTTTTCAGGATACTTTGATGAATAGAATGTTCAAAATAACAGCATTTATTTGAAATAGAAATCTTTTTTAACATTATAAATGTCTTTACTGTCATTTTTAATCAATTCATGTACATAATACATACATATATACATAAGTATATATGTGTGTGTGTGTGTGTGTGTGTATATATATATATATATATATATATATACTGTATATATATAGTAATGTCTAATTTAATGATTATTAGATCTTACCGTCAAGGAGAGGAGAAAAGAGCAAAGCGTGAATCTCTGGATATGTGATTTGGTGACCGTCAGACCACTGGCTAACTTATTAGTAGGGTTATTCTGTTAAAAAAAAGAAGTACAGATATTATTTATCTTCCAAACAATACAGGTTAAAATAATAAAGCTAAGCCATTATGCTTGTGTGGAAAAAAACATTTTTGAAAAGATTTAATTAAAAAAATAAGACAATATGATACATTCAATGCATACTTAAAACATACTAATTCGGCACCATCCATCAAACCATCGAAAACAATAAAGATGTTTTCACACCCACTACACAACTATGTGCATCAACAATGAAAACTATGTTGTTATCTTTCTTGTCTACCAGGAGAACATTGAGTGCTAGTGACAGCAAAAACATAATTTAGAAGATACAAAACAAGTTCTGCCCAACCTAAATCTTTCACTCAATCTCACCAACACACAATCATAAAATGAAAACCTAATGCCTCTTATACAACAGAAAGCTGATAATTGGTCTCTAATCAGAAAGGGGCAAAACCTAAACATGTTGAATCAGGCACGTTAGTCTGAGAGTTGTAGGTCTTTGAATGGTACATAATTATCTGCAGGACGAAACATCTTATTGTGAAAACTAGTCATAGGGTGTTGACTAAAAAACATTCCAAAGCCTCAGGACAAACCAAACAAATAAAAGTTACTAAGGTCTTACATAAATCTCTTACCAAACAGCAAAATACAATAATATACATTAAGAAGTTGGATAGGACCTACATTTTTAAATGAGTTGTTTTTTTGTCTGTAAAAAACATGCTGTGACATTCATGATGGTTGCCAGGGTGCTGCTATGCAGTTGCTAGTTAAAACCTTCACCTACCTTATCGAAAGCTGGATAGATGGCACGCAGTTCTGTTAACCATCCGTAGGGCATATGACCAACTGGATATGTTGCTGTGAGTACTGCTACCGCCTAGCAAACACACATAATTTGGTTAGAACTGGCTGCTGTGTGTTGTAGTGCATACTATCATTCATCAGTACTCACTTCAGTTGATGCGGCGCTGCCTTTGAGGTCCCGAGAGACAAACAGATTGACAATGGGCCTGCTGATGCGCTGAGTGGCCAAAATGAGGGCAAGCGGCCACCAGAAACTAAGCATCTTCCTTACGGTGACATCGCCCTGGAAGTGACCAAAAGTAGTCTGAATATAGGAAGCAACTTTCTGATCTGTCTGCAAAAATCTTTTCGATAAACATACCCCCAGTTCGAGGCTACTTGATTCAGGAATGTTGTCATGGACGTTACAGTAGTAGCCCAGTCCCACAATAGTGAACCGCACCAAAGCTCCCATGTACAGAGACAGAATGGGAATAAGAAGAGGCTCTAAACATTCCAGGTTACTCTGGAGAAGAATCGCCACAAATATTATCTGCAGGCGAACAGAAGAGTCAAGAATCAATTAAATATTGGGCAAGTTTAAGTGCATGTTTTAACACATGACAAACCTGCAAAAATATTTATGTATCCAATAGTTAAAAAAGAGATACGCTGTTGCTGCTACATGCTATGCAAATTTGCAATGCAAAATGCGTGCTCAAAATAGCCCTTTGGCAGGTAGCACATTTAAAATAAAACAAACTGCCAGATTTGCATAAACATGATGTGCCAATATACACTGAACAAAATTATAAACGCAACACTTTTGTTTTTGCCCCCATTTTTCATGAGCTGAACTCAAAGATCTAAGACTTTTTCTATGTACACAAAAGGCCTATTTCTCTCAAATATTGTTCACAAATCTGTCTAAATCTGTGTTAGTGAGCACTTCTCCTTTGCCGAGATAATTCATCCACCTCACAGGTGTGGCATATCAAGATGCTGATTAGACAGCATGATTATTGCACAGGTGTGCCTTAGGCTGGCCACAATAAAAGGCCACTCTAAAATGTGCAGTTTTATCACACAGCACAATGCCACAGATGTCGCAAGTTTTGAGGCAGAGTGCAATTGGCATGCTGACTGCAGGAATGTCCATCAGAGCTGTTGCCCGTGAATTGAATGTTCATTTCTCTACCATAAGCCGTCTCCAAAGGTGTTTCAGTGAATTTGGCAGTACATCCAACCGGCCTCACAACCGCAGACCACGTGTAACCACACCAGCCCAGGACCTCCACATCCAGCATCTTCACCTCCAAGATCATCTGAGACCAGCCACCTGAGACAGCTGCTGCAACAATCGGTTTGCATAACCAAAGAATTTCTGCACAAACTGTCAGAAACCGTCTCAGGGAAGCTCATCTGCATGCTCGTCGTCCTCATCGCGGTCTCGACCTGACTGCAGTTCGTCGTCTTGAGTGGGCAAATGCTCACATTCGATGGCGGGCAGGCGTATGTTATGGACAACGAACACAAGTGCGTTTTATTGATGGCATTTTGAATGCACAGAGATACCGTGACGAGACATTGTTGTGCCATTCATCCACGACCATCACTAATGCACGGCCCCATGTTGCAAGGATCTGTACACAATTCCTGGAGGTAAACTATTTAATATTAGTTTAATTAAATCATGTTAGTTCAATAATATTTTAAATAGTGATAATCTTTATCTTTAAGCTATGCTACATTACATTAAAATGTTTAAATGTCATGTCTTTTTTTGTTGTTTTTTTGTGTTGTGCTTATTGTGCTGTCATATGACAATTTTTTTACAATTACTAATTTTTAAAAACTAATGTCATTTTAATTTTTTTACTTTTTTATACTACCATTCAAAAGCTTGGTCAGTACTTTTTTTTTTTTAGAAATTAATACTTTTTTTCAGCAAGAATACATTAAATTGCAAATCAAAAAATAAAAAGTGACAGTAAAGACATTAATAATGTTACAAAAGAATTATATTTTAAATAAATGCTTTTTATTTAAAAGCATTAATGCTTTAAAACTTCCTATTCATCGAAGAATCCTGAAAAAATGTATCAGGGTTTCCACAAAACAATTTAAGCAACACAACTTTTTTCAAAATTAATAATAGTGATGTTTCTTGAGCACCAAATCAGCATATTAGAATGATTTTGGAAGAATCATATGATACTGACGACTGAAGGATGCTAAAAAAATTACTTTTTTAGCCATCAAAGGAATAAATTACATTTTAAAATGTATTCAAATAGAAAACAGTTGCAATATTTGACACAATATTACTGTTTTTACTATATCAAATAAATTCAGACTTGAGGCCTGTTGGACAAAGCCAGTTTCGTTTTTTTACCCAGGTAAGTTTGCAATTGGTTTGAGCAAACTCTGAGCTTTCAGGCTCAAAATGTTGGGTTGGTTTTGAGCAGGTTTTGTAACTTACACTACAGCATACCCTGTTCCGGAGTAGGTTTCATTCTGGGTTAGAGATCGAAAACCCAAACTGGACCAATCAGCTGTGAGTTCCCCTGTAACTTTTGCTTCAAATTAAAGCAGTTTACAGTGAGAGAACTTCGCCCTTCTTTTGCTGTTAATTATTTATTCTATTATCTATATTATACGAATTATAATTACTTATTTGTATGAACTGACAATTAATATTAAACTTTGCATTTAAATTAGTTTAACTATAAACATATAAATAAGCTTTAATATATATAAAAGCTTTTAAAACGACTAAACTTATGTGTTTTATTTTGAGCTCTTTGTGAAACTATATACAGTAGTCATAGAAAAGAATCACCCACTTTAAAATAATCACATTTTGTTGCTTTGCACATTTTAAAGAAGGGCACAGTATTTGTTTTATCCAGCTGTATTTACTCAGTGCAATTTATAACATCCAAGTGAAAGATTAAACACCAACATACCAGAAAAATAATAATAATAAATAAAAAAAACAGAATCACTGAGTTGGAAAAAGGATCCTTGTGTCAGTATTTTGTTGAACTACCTTTTGCTTTAATTCCAGCCTTTAGTCTGTTGGGATTTGTCTCTACTAACTTTGCACATCTAGACTTTGCAATATTTGCATAACTGCTCAAATTCAGTTTAGGGATGCACCTATCGGGCCCGATACTGGTCTCCTGTACTCGTACTCGTACTCGTACTCGTTAAAATGCC